CCCCCCCCCCCCCCCCCCCCCCCCCCCCCCCCCCTTCCTCCCCCTCCTCCCCCCCTTTTTTCCCCCCCCCCCCCACTTAGGAAAGAAGGGCTGTGACAATGATGCTACAGGCAGAAATGTGAGAAAGAGCAGCTTCGAATCTTGAGAACCAATAGCAATATCCAGAGTCAGCCAGCAGTGGTCCTCATCTTCCAAGGTCCACTTCTTTGTTTCAATGACCAGGTGTCACCACCAGATATGACCGCAAGGGGGTGGCACTGCTGCAACCAAAGCCCTATTTGAGTTCCTGCACTAGAAGGGGATGGTTAAACTTGGTACATTGCTTATTTTTCTATGGAAAAGAGTGGCATGCTGCTGTGCAAAGCTGGACTTAAGCTTTACAGCAAACATACATGTGGGAGAACCTGTCCTCCTGGTTTCGCTGGCCAGGGTCCTGACCCCAGAGGAACCCTCTAGTATGTATCTTCCACCCCTGTTCCTACAACTCATGGGTACAGAATCAGAACTTCCGGAGGATGACTTCTTTTCATAGGTAGAGAATCACAGAATACTAGAAATAGAAGACACCTCAGAGATCATCCAGTATAATCCTATCATTTTGGGAAAAAATAGTTATATGGATGACTTGTGTTTTTTACACCACAGTCATTTTCCAGTACATCCCCCTACCTCTGCACTGAACCCTCTGTTGTGACAAAGAAAAAAAGTTAAGTAAAACTGAGTGATATTGGTGCATATGCAACCCTTTGTCCCTATAGACCCTCCACCTTTCTATTGAGAAGAGGGAAGTGTGTGTATTCTGTTTTCTAGGCCTAAGACTGGTTATTTCAATTAATTTGAGTTAAATTGCCTTTTAGTATTGTTTTTGATTACATTATTGTAGTCATTGTATCTCTTGTTCTCCTGGTTTTTCTTGCTTCCTTCTTTATCAGTTCTTATAATCTTTCCCATGTTTCTCTGAATTCTTCACATTTGTGGTTTCTTACAGCATAATAGAATTCCATTACATTCTCATGTCAAAGCTCATCCATTCCTCAACTAATGGGCATACACTTTGTTTCCAGTTTCTTTTTTCTACCTACAAGAAAAAAAATGTATTAATTGTTTGGTTTCTACCTTTCTTTTTGTGTCCAACCTCCTTGGGGTTCATGCTCAGTAGTGCCAACCCCTTCATTTTACAGATCAGGCAACTGAGGCCCAAAGAGTGGAAGTGATTTGTCCAAGGTCATAGAGTCCTTGGCAAGAACTTAACTCCAGGCTTTCTGACTCCAAGGCTAGTGCTCTTTCTGTTATACCACAGTACCTGTCTGGGTACCATGAATTTGTGCACATGCATGTCTTCATGAATGTTCTTATATAGCTGCCTGGGTGCATACCCCCATTTTGTCTTGACTGTGTGTGTAGCACTTTGAGCCCTTAACATGGCCCCGGAAGGCTACTTCCAGGTCCATGGTATTCATTACATAACCGTAGAGTTAAATTCACTGCACTAAACCCCATCTCCACCTACCAAAACCAAGTGAAACATGTTACATCATAGTAAAGCTTAGGATATTTAATTCAAACAGAATGTGAAGTAAATAACAAGAAATTAAATCAAGCAATAAGAAATCATGCAACCCATTTCCCAAACATCCAGGGATTAGAGGCTTTGAATCAACTCATCCCTTCTCCTTTTATTGCTACCCAGCAGAAGGCACTGAAATCTAGGGACCATTAGATGAATACTGAAACCTTGACACCTGAAAGGTACCTTGGCCGAGCCTATGAACAAGAAAGCCTTGCAGATGGCCTTCTATAGAGGGGAACGCTTCTGCCATTGTTTCTACCAAGAGCAGCCCCAGAGCCAGACTCGGCTCCCCATTTTCCTTCTGTTTTCTTTCTCTCTCTCTTTGGTGTTTTTCTCTCTCTACTCCAACTCAGGTTTGCTAGCCTCTTAAAGTTTGTACTGCCTTGCTACAATCCAGCCCGCATCTCCAATGAGCAACAGTACATGCACGTGCATACACACACACACACCCCTTAGGCCTCAGTATACACACACACACTTGTGTGCATATACACATATATACACATGCACACATGCACACATACGTGTGTACATATACATACACATATGTGTGTATATGTAGAGAAAGAGAATAGTCGGTTGTTTGTTGTCTTTCATTCTTGAAGAGGAACAAAATGACATCACTATGTTAGAGTCGAGTTACAGTGTGTCTGACTGTGGCTGATCAGACCAATACAAGCTTAGAATATTCTACCATAGGTGGGGCACAAATAGTCCATGTGAACATTTGGGGTGGATTCTCTAAATTTGTGCATCTCATGTTTCTTCTGAGCTACTTCAATTCTGCATTGTGCATAGAACACAGCACCTTCTCTGATCAGGGCATGCCATACTGGGTGGTCCTGTGCCAGTGTCTCCCATGTCACACAATTCCGAAGTTCTTAAGAGAAACCTTGAGAGTGTCCTTTTATCACTTTTTCTAACCACCGTGTGAGTGTTTGCCCCATGTGAGTTCTCTATAAAATAGTCTTTTTGGCAAACATATGTTTGGCATTTGAACAATGTGGCCAGCCCATCGTAGTTGTGCTCTCTGCAGTAGAGTTTGAATGCTTGGCAGTTTAGTTTGAGAAAAGACCTTAGTGTCTGGTATCTTATCCTGCCAGGTGATCTTCAGAATCTTTCTAAGATAATGCAAATGGAAGTCATTCAGTTTCCTGGCATGGCACTGGTAGACTGTCCAGGTTTCATAGGCATACAACAATGAAGTTGGTACAATGGCTCTGTAGACCTTCAGTTTGGTAGTCAGTCTAATACCTCTTCTCTCCCACGCTTTCTTTTGGAGTCTCCCAAACACTGAGCTAGCTCTGGCAATGTGTGTGTCAACCTCATTATCAAGGTGTACATCCCTGGAAAGTGTGCTGCTAAGGTAAGTGAATTTATCCACAGTACTCAAAACTTCTCCATTTGCTAGAACCGATGGTTCCACACATGGATGGTGTGGTGCTAGCTGATGGAGCACCTGTGTTTAGCACAAGCAGCAGAGAATTGATCCATACTTTGTTGCATCTCAGCTTCAGAGGCTGCATTGAGTGCACAATCATCTGCAAACAAAAATTCATGCACCAACACTCCCTCCGCTTTAGTCTTGGCTTGTAACCTTTTCAGGTCGAAGAATTTACCATCAGTGTGGTAGCTGACCTTGATGCCAAGGCATTTAACAACATGAGTTCAGTCATGTCTGACTTTTCATGACCCCATGGAATAGTATGGCCCATAGGTTTTTTGTTTTTTTTTTTTTTTAGACAAAGATACTGGAGTAGGTTGCCATTTCCTTCTCTAGTAGATTAAGGCAAATAGGGTTAAGTGACTTGCCCAGGGTCACACAGCTAGTATTTACTGTCTGAGGTCAGATTTAAGCTCAGATCTTCCTGATTCTAAGCCCAGTACT